TTTGCTGAGCTGAAGGAAAAGATTGATCGCCGTTCTGGTAAAAAGCTGGAAGATGGCCCTAAATTCTTGAAATCTGGTGATGCTGCCATTGTTGACATGGTTCCTGGCAAGCCCATGTGTGTTGAGAGCTTCTCTGACTATCCTCCTCTGGGTAAGGATGATTTTTAAATGCTATAAAAGTTTTAGCAAAAAGGAAAATAAGCTTATGTGAGTAAAGTGTTAATAGTAATACAAACTTGTTTCAACAGGTCGTTTTGCTGTTCGTGATATGAGACAGACAGTTGCTGTTGGTGTCATCAAAGCCGTGGACAAGAAGGCTGCTGGAGCTGGCAAGGTCACCAAGTCTGCCCAGAAAGCTCAGAAGGCTAAATGAATATCCCTAATTCCTGCCACCCCAGTCTTAATCAGTGGTGGAAGAACAGTCTCAGAACTGTTTGTCTCAATTGGCCATTTAAGTTTAATAGTAAAAGACTGGTTAATGATAACAATGCATCGTAAAACCTTCAGAAGGAAAGGAAAATGTTTTGTGGACCATTTCTTTTTTTGTGTGTGGCAGTTTTAAGTTATTAGTTTTTAAAATCAGTACTTCTTAATGGAAACAACTTGACCAAAAATCTGTCACAGAATTTTGAGACCCATTAAAACAAAGTTTAATGAGAAACCTGTGTCTTCTTTTGGTCAAAAATGAGACTTCATAGAAAAATGTTATGGAAAAAAGCTGAGTTTGTAAATCACTCTTGTATTAAGAACCTGTTGGAACTTTTTAAAGAATATGATAATTTAGATAATTTTTTTCTGGGTTGGGAGTTTGGGTCATTTCTCACCTTTCTAAGAAGGCAGACTCTTAATAGAATGCCTGTTTACATATTTCTCTAGAAGGCCAAATCCTGTAATAGTGGCCATGTGTTGCATATGAAATTTTGTAGTTAATCAATATTAAGTAAATTTGTTTGAACAATCAAAAAAAAAAAATTTCATTCACTTATTTTTTCCAGGAGAGGGACAAAGAGTAAGCGGGAGTGAGAGTGAAAGTGGCAAGCACTCTCAACAAGGTCTTCATGCCATGATCTACCACCAGCACCAGCCAGCCTGGATCATGAGCATACATGTGTGTGCCTGGAATGTAAAGGAAGACCACTTGGGACTCAAACTTGGGAATACCCTTCCACCAACCCACCTCATGAGACCAGCCTACTACTGTATCACTCTCTGGCCCAACTACTGTTAATTTTACATTACACTATTTAAGTTATGGTACAAGAAAAAGAAGAGTATATATTCAAAGAATTTATCTTGTCTTTTGGGGAAGGAGAAGTGTGTCTGCAGTTGTATGAAAGATAGCTGTATCATGTTAGGTAGATTTTCAACCTATGCTGTTGTCTTTATTTGGCAACTAAGTATGGTTTAAGGCGTGAACATGGCCAAGTTGACAAAGGAAGTGGACTTGTGATGACTATTTTAGGTGTCAGCTTGACTGACTAAAAAATGCTCAAGTGACAAGTACGTGTCTTCTGGATATCTGTGAGGGTGTTTTCAAAGGAGATTTGTGTTCGAATTAGCAAACTGAATTGGGAGGATATGCCCTCACCCAATGTAAACAGAGCCTTCCTACAATCTAATAAAACAAGAAGTAAGAGGAAAGGTGAATTCTCTCTTTTTCTCTTCTGGAAGGTCACCATTGTCCTACCTTGGCATTATTAGAACTCCAGGTTCCCTGGCTCTTGGATGCTGGAAATTGCACCAGAAGTCTCCTAGTTCTAAGACCTTGGACTTTTAACTAAGAGTTATACCATCACACAGAGTTATACCTCCCATCTGAGGTCTTTAGATTGAACTTATCCACGTTACAGGCAACCCTGGTTCTTCAACAGACTTCTCAGCCTCTGTAATCATATCAGCCAATTCCCTTAATAAATCCACTGTCATCTATCTACCTATTTATCTTTATATCCTATTGCTTCTGTTTTTATGAAGAACTCAAACTATTAATAAAACAGACAGGGAACCCATAAGTATGGGGTCACTTAGACCATAGAGTTTTTTGCTTTCATATTTGTCCACACTCAGCCTACAGAACTTCATCAAAATGACCTGTGAGTGTTCTCATCAGTTTAAGTCTTCTGAGGGTTCAGGTAAAGAGATGGAGGTAGTGAGTCGAGATTTGCCCATCTCCAGATTTGGGCCTGTGACTTCAGTCATCTGATGGGTCCTAGAAAGGTCATCATATTATATTTCAGTTTACTCAGTTTTTCTCTTGTTGTGAGGATGTGAGTGAGAACTTCCAAGGTCTTTATGTGACAGAGCTAAAACTGGAAACTCTAAAAACTGTTTTGAAACACACAAAATGATGTTTCTAAATTTGTGAGTCTATGAGTAATATTTTTGGTATTGTAACAATCAACAGAGAAGCCACGAGATGTTCAACATGCTGCCTTATAATGAATTCTTCTAATGTCTGCTTCTATCTACGTTTTTATAAATGTAAGCTGCAGATAAGCAAAGGGTAATTATAACCATGATTCTAATGCAGATTAACATACCACATTTTTTTCATCATACTTCTCATAGAGCTTGAAATCCATTTTAATCTATGACTTAATTTGCATAAGAAGTTGATAAAACAAAGACTACAAAACAGGAACAGAGAAATGATGATTTTTTCTCATCTTTAATAGAGTATTTTATTGCCAGAATAAACAACAATCATAAAAACCAGGAAAAATCCCCTCAAGCCACTGTTGAGGGGAGAGAAATGTTAATATATACCAAGGTATTCTCCATAACAAAGATTTATTTACAGGTCAGATAACAGAATTTTATTCAAACAGGGTAAGAGTATTTATCACAGGCTTAACATATGTTTAGGTTTCCTATCCCAATTAAGTGGGGAACAAAAACTAAGAAATACTTGTAAAAGTTACAAACCAGGGACATTGGCTTGCTGAAAGACAGATTTAATCATAAGAGGTAGAATGCTTCCATTTCCCCACATCTTACCATCATACACAGGACTTACAAGAAAGGACACAGCTGGAAGAGAATCTCTCTGAGAAGTATGTAGGAAAACCTGAAATCAAAGGAGACTAAAAATAAAGACTTCTGCAAGTGTCTTTCAGACTGAATACTATGGAATAATACTCATCCATAAAGCACAAGGAGACCTTGTCATTTGCTACAAAGTGGATGAATATAGAAGATTTAATGCTTAGTGAAGTAAGCCAGACAATGAAAGATTAACACTATACTTCCCTCTCACTTTATTCCAAATATCTCACTCTATGGCAGAAACTGAAAGATCCAAACATGTAATAGTAGGGAGGGCAGGCATCAATAGATGCCAGAGACTTTGTTGGAGTGGGTGGACGTAAAGACTAGGTGGGAGGGACTTGGGCAGGAAATGCATAACATACATAAGAATGTAAAGTTCTCTAGTGAACATGATCATATGGTAAGATCTTTGATTTGATTGTCATGCACTCTATGCATATTTTATAAAAACATACTGTGTGCTATAGCTATGTATGCAATTAAATGTGAATAAGACATCATAGAAAAGGAATTTTGTAAATACAGCATAATTTCTGCCCAAATTAAAATAAAATTTAAAATTCAAGGTCAATATATGTTTAGCACTAACAAAAAAAAAACATACATATGACTAATATTGCTTTTAATTAGACCTCCATTTTTTCTGTATAGATAATTCCAACCACAGGGATCACAAGAATAGATGTTAAGGAATAGTGCTACCACACTAATGAAAAGAAAAAATGGAGATTAGTCAACTTCTCAACCTCTCAAAACAATTTTGATTAACATATACTTGATTTTGGGTAAGAGATTTTTAGTTAGGATTATATAAGTAGTTGTTTCATTTTTCACCTTTTATTTATGTGATAGGCCTTCTCATAAATCTTAATAGAAAAAAAAAAGTTTTTAAGTTTTTCTGATGCCAAAGAACAAGATTAATAAATAGCTTGTGCCCTCAAAACAAATAAACTAGAAGTAGGAATTCATAGAATCTGAACTTTAGACAAGTCTAATCTCAGCAAACCAACTGACTGATACTTAGTCTCAGAGATGTAGAGCCTGGTGCTACTTGAAAAATCTATGAACTTGACATTTATGTAAATAACAACAAAAGTGTTTTTGTCATTAGATAATCTATCTGCCTATATTAAGTAGAGACACAAAATGTCTCTCTTTCATAGTGTGACTTGCTTCAAATGGAGGATTGTCTGTTGATGATGTGTATCATAGCTTCAACTGAACTGGTGTGAAGTGTCTTCATGTTGGGTAATTCATTTACAAGCTATAATGATGTAGAGTGATTGAATGTATAAAATAAATTAAAACAATATAAAGAAAAAATCTATCTGAAAACCAAAAATATAAATATAGTAGCAACCAAAGTATAGGGATACTAATATGCCAGAGGTGAGAAAAATGAAGAACAACTTTGGCATTCTGGCATTTAAAATCTGAAAGCTAGATTAGTGAGTGTCTTAAAATGAAAATGTTAGATATGCGGAAAAAGAAAAATAAGCACTGAACTTGCTAACAATTTAGTATTTCCTGAATTGATATTCCACACAATAGAGCCTACTTTCCTATTATAATTTCCTAGTAAATGCAATCTCTCAGAAGGATGGAAAACACAAAAGAATGACCAGAAAAGAATCATGAAGAATGATATAAATTTCAGTTGAATTACATTTTACAGGTATATAAAATAATTAGCATAACAGCACTGGCAATGGAAATGTTAGTTACCTTGATTTATAAGCAAGTTTACCCAGGAAAATCACTATTTCAGTTAAATATTAGTATTGCCCTCTTTGACTCTAAAATTAATACGTAAAAATTTTGAGATTTGCACTCTCTTAATCTGTCCAATCTCATTTTATGCTATCCTCCCTAAATTCATCTCACTCCAACCATCCAACAGTTTCTTTGTTTTAATAATAAATAAGGTGAAGACATGCACTATTCTCTATGTTGGAATCACTCTGACCCTGTTCACTGGTCAACTCTTATTAATGTTTCAGGTTGCCTTGGAAACATTCCTTTCTTAGGGAAACTTTCCTTGACCCTCAGCTCCATGCCCAGATTAATTCATTAGTTATCTAATTTCTCCAATAAATCATTTATTTCTCTTTTGTATTTTTCCCATGATCGTATGTATCAGCTTTGCTTAGTGTCTACCTTCTCTTCTAGGCTGTAAATCCTAACATAACCAGAGCCAATCCTTTGTACCAGGCCTGGAGTCTGGCAGACTGACAACGATCTTGTGATTTCCATCACACAAATGAAAAAACTGAGACTCAAACAGTGTAAATCATAATTTATTTTCTTTGATAGACTTTATAGAGTAAGATCATTTCAGTGTAAATGAAT